AGACTGATTTTGGTTAGTTTTTGTACGATGATTGATGATAATCATTTTCCAAATAATTTTGAATCACACTGTATCTACAGCTGTTAAACACATTTATACTAAATTCAATATCCCTCACGAAGAAAGAAGTGAGCGTTTTTGCAAATCTATCGCGCGTAACCTGACTGTTCTCACATGGCACGGCACGTTTGTTAAAAATTTATCTAGAAATAAATAAACCCATCTATATTGATATGATGTTCAGAAAGAAGATCTTTGAAAGACGGAAACAGTGCTTCCTCTCATAATACCCAAACTATCACTTCGTTTTCGATATTGGTTCTGGCGTTGGCTTCGGGAGACATTCCCTACTGTAACGATCGAGTCGGGGACTGATCAAGGAAGTTGTGGCTGCACAAAAGATAGGATCTTTAGGTTTGTCTTCGACCTTATCGAGTTAATCTTCCACATTAATGGCACAAAGCTAAGGATGTCAAGGCAGTTTAAATGAACCAATTTCTATTAAGTTTAATATCGAACTTTTATAAATCAGTTTACATTAATCTTTTATCGTTTGAATGAATCAACAATGGAACCGAGTTTAATAAATTAGTTATTGTAATTTGATAAAACACATTACGTCAAACCGGTTTAAATACAATACTTGATGACATGAAAACTTTTAACACTTGCAAAAATTTAATATTTAAATGATTTGGATTCATTTACAGTAGCGGTCATAAGTAGCCGACCCCTTGTAACTTTTTATATTAAAAATTTTTTGTTTTAAACTTTTTGAAATAATTAAAATTACTATATTAAGATTTAAGTTTTTGTACTAATGACAAAAAATTTAATATAATTTAATAATTCAGTTGTTGAAAAATTAAATTTTAAATTTTGGTATTAAATTATTTTTTTTATTTTTTTATAAAATTTTATAAATTTAAAATGTAATGTCTCAATAACTGTTTATTAAATTATGTCAAATTTTTTGTTACTATTATAAAAATATTTAAATTTTAATATATTAAATTTTAAGAAAGTTAATTTAAAAATTATTAATATAATTATATTTGATTAATATTTTTTATTTATGTAAAAAATTGATTTAAAATTCAGCTCTTATTTAAATTTTGTTATAATAATTATGATCAGGTGTAAAAAAATTGTTTTTAATAAAAAAATCAATAATTACTTCTAATAAAAATCATTCAAATAAAAATAATCTAAATTAACTTTTTATACTATTTTAATTATCTATTATACTTTAATTCAATAATAAATGAAGCAATACTTTTCTAAAAAAAAAAATAAATTTTTAAAAAAAGATATTTTAAGTATTATTATTATTAATTTGCAATATTAGAACTTTAATTTATACAAGCAGGTTATTCTAAATTTTATAAAAATTGAATTAGTAATTATAAAAAAATTAAAATTCAAGTTTAGTAATTAAATTATTTATTATATAATTTTATATTAATTTTAATCAAATTTTATATAGAAAATTTAAGAAATAATAATTTAAAAAGTTATTATTAGTAAAAATTTTTTTATAAAAGACATATATAAAAATTTTTATATTTAAATAAATTTCAATATCTAATAACTTAATTAAATAAGACAGAATTAAAATTTTATTTTG